ATCTTTTAAACATAACGTGATAAAACACTTACCAAGTTGGTATAGTGTGGTCGACTATTGAGAGTAGAAGATTCTCTTTTTAGTTGATCGCATTCATGAACCATATTCCCTTAGGATGGTGTGGTCACATTTCATACTATAATAAATAAACAAATTGCATTAAATATTGAATGATTGTTTAATCATCTCTCAAAACTTAAATGAAGATACAAATACTCTTTATAGTTCTCTCCAAAATATTACAAAAGTAGTTAGAAAATTTAATAAACGTAAAAAAAAAATATTGGATGATTCCATAATATTAATAAATTTAATGCTATGTTTCGAATTGATTAAACTTTTTTTTTTTTAAATATTACTTTTTATTTGAAATCTAATCGCTATCGCGAATGTTTTAGACCACCATTTCTCCATTTAGGTAGAAAACCCAGAATTTATTCGCTCAGAATGGTTTCTGTGATTGACAGGGTGCCGCTGGGTCATTTTGCGTTTCGGATGATTTATCTCACACTGACCGGTTTTTATTTTCTCTTATTCTATACATTGTGGTTGTCAGTTCCGATGACTTCTGTAACGCAGCGGAAATGCACGTTACGTATTCGGGACCTTGGGTCCAATTTCCTTTGGAAGAATAAAAGGACCTTTTTAAATTGTCTCGGATAGATATTTTGGGTTGTTACCTCGTAACGATTTGATTTTTAAGCAACATCAAAAGATATTTTATGGTATTTTTTTATGCGTAAGTGGTGTTTTCTTCAACTTTGAATCGATTATCATCATTCTTTTTTCAATCAATAGGGTATATACTCAATGTATAAATCGATTGGATATATACTCAATATAAATATGATTCGAATAGTAAGAATAATTTAAGATTTTCCACCGTAAAAACTACAATTTCAATCGTCGATAAAATTGTTAAAGGATTGACAACGAAATCAATTCTCTGTCGAAAGTCGCTTCAAAATGTAACATTTTCATAATATTGCATTCAAAATAGAAACAAATTGAGAAACTCTTCTCTCTCTTTTGAAATCTGAACTAAAAAGAGGAAAGAATTATTTTTTTATTTGTAATAAATAAACTCGAAAAGTACTTAACTGATTTTAAAAATTCTTTCACATGTAGAATGCTACAGTATCAGCGAGAAATATGGGCTGTATTATTTTAATAATAAAATTAACTTCCACAAAAACGACTCCAATAGTGGCAAAATTTTAATTTAAATACTAAACTACTGAACCGATTTTGATAAAATTTGTCTACTGTAAGTTTGTCTATTGTCAAATAAAAAAAATATTCAAATCGACATATAACCGGATTGAGAACCTCGTTCTTTTTAATAATAATAATAATAAAACTTTATTAACAAATGCAGGGTTGCACTGTTACATATTTTTTGCCCTAGCTTACAAATCAGGGTAACCTGTGCCTTGTAAGCCAGTTCCTTCAAACACACAAGAACTAATACTTTGTATTAATAGGCGAATACTTCTTGTTTAGTACTAATTACTTGCTGTTATCTTAATTACTTGCTGTGAATGAAGTCACTTCAATTCACAATTACAGTGGTGTGGCTAATATTTTTTAATACAAGTCTATCCTCAATTTATTACCGCTGTGCTTGACAGGACTCCGTCTATCTCTGCCTGCCTTGAAATGTTACACTAATGATGTAAATATGCAAATTTCAATCTTATTCATTTGCAATAACGTGCCGAATAGGATCGTGAGTTTCATTCATGTTTTGTAATGTGACACACGGTCGATTTTATTCACAAATACCTATTTATATTATATTTAAATATACAAATTAATACATAATAATTAGTTGATACTAATTTTATTTTTACCACGTATTTCAACCGTGAAGCAGTTGTGTTTGCATGGCTGTGTTTCGGTTTGAAGGGTGGGATATGGCGTGAATTTACTGGATACAGAGGAATAACACCTGAGTCTTCAGGAATGGCAACGCATGGGGGGTATCATGGGCGAAACAGTATACTCTGTTAGGTGCACCTTGTTTGCCATTCTAAGTAATATAAAAAAAAAAAAAACTTTAACGGCTTAACCAATCACTATTAAATTTTGTTTATACATACTATATTATATTTATGCCAATCAGTGAACTTATCCTGGTCACACGGATGAACTCGCGGGTAAATGTTAGCATTCATATAAATACCAGAAGTATACTTGCATGGCTTTGTTTTGGTTAGAAGAGTGGGATATGGCTGCTTAAATGCAGTGTACGGAGGTGGAGGTATAACTTTCATTTTACATAAAAAAAATCCAGAATATGCATCAGGGATATGTTCACTGACAGCGATAAAAAGTAGCCTATGTCCTTCTCTATCCTATAAAGTAGGTATATACCTAAATCCATAGTGATTAATTAGATCATTATGGCGCTAAGTGCTAATAAACAAACTTATTTTTATATTTATTAGTAGAGATATTGCGATAGTCACCTGCATAGGCTGGAGTTGAGGGTCTGAGGCATTTCTCTAAATTTCATTCTAAAATAATAATTTCAAGTGAATATAATATTAAAATTTTTAATCTAAGGACTAATGTAAACTATATTTCTGAAGATTTAATAGTTGGTCATTAAATAAACTTAGATATAGAAATACTATATAGCCCTGGAACCAAGACTTGCGGTTTTTGTGGATTATTTTGTAATTTAAGTAATTTAAAGTAAAATTTATAAATAGGCGAGTAGTTTTTATTAATATGTATGAATGTGAAGAAATAGTATCTATGCGATCTTTTCACGAATGTATTATAACCCACACAATTGCAATGTTTCTTGTTAGTATGTGATTTTTACATGAAGTTTTAAAATAGAAGAGAATAAAGACAAAAAATATCTTAAATTTTATCAGTAAAAAATAAATAAAATCACTCGCCAACTAGAAACTTTACTTCAAATTATCTTTAATTACAAAATAATAGACAAGAAATCTCGATTCTAACGCCATCTAGTATTTTGTGTACAATTTTGTTTAGTGACCAACCACCTTAAGACAAAATTATTATAAATTTAGTTTACGACCTTTCATAAAACAGTAAATTGGCTATATTATCAAATTAAAATATTAAGTAAAAGATAGGTTTAGAGAAATAGCGCCACAGAATCGGCACCACTGTGTGTCCCTCAGTATTCACGTCTCCATGTAAAGTAGAACGATTCGTCTTGGTTATCTGTCACAACTGGCAGCCCCCAGAGTAGTTAGCGCCAGAGAGTTTGATTCAGCTTGTTACATAACAAGAGCGTCGTTGTTACGACATCTGTCACTGTATACTAGACGCGGTTTTGAAGGAAAACTAGTGTTAGTTTTCATAGGATCCGTTGGAATTGTTACAAACTATATTAGATATAAATATAGACTCACTGCCTTATCCAGAAAGTTCTTTTTTTTTGTTTTCTTTAAGACTACAGTATGGGGTTTTTCAAAAAGGGCATACTAAGGTTTCGTAAAGCAAACGAATGTTCTGTGGTCTACGTGCGCGTGTGTGCGCGTGTGTGATCATAAAGTTGCTGTTGTTGTCAAGGAAATACGTCTGTTAAATTTTTATTTCAACATGTACCTAGGCACTTATTTTAAGTTATAGCACGGATTAATTTATTCTCTTTTAATCATAGTTTCAGTCTCAATATTCACTTTGTTCTTTTGTAATATTAAAGGATTTTGACCGTATCCGTTAATTAAGCCACTTGGGGCCCTCTCGTTTGATATGGGATGATGGCTTGTGACGTTTTTAATTGAAATTTTAAAGGTTAAGTATAATAGAGATTCGTTTACGGATCAGAGAGTGCTTAATTTTGTTTGACAATCAGATATGACAGACATTATAAGATATGATATCGCAGTTAAATATTTTTTATAAAAAAAAATAGTCGGGATCTGGTAAGAGACGATTATGAAAGTACTTAAATTATTAGTTCAAAATTGGTGAAAATATCATATATGTGATGACGAGGATGATATCAGCCAGTACTGTCCACTGCAGAACATAAGCTTCATCCTGTTACCAGTAGTTGCCACGCTGAGCAGGTGGACCTGGCAGCCGCAATTAGGTTTTTGGTGATGTTTTAAGAAGGACGCTGCTGCTCATTCCTCGACCATAAGTTTCCTATGTCGCCTCTTACGACACCCACAGGAAAGAAAGGGGTAGCCTATTCCATGCTGGGACTACACGGAATAAACATTAGTATAGCTTGCACAAAAAAAAAAATACTAAGTTGTATGTGAATCTGCTAGTTGAAAGACTGTGGGAGACGTAACTATTATGAATGGATCAGAGGATTTGAGAAAATTACATACGTACATTTTTTTTATACAACTTAGAGTGGCATACAAGCTGACGGCCCACCTGATGGAAAGTGGTAACCGTCGCCTATAGACATGAGCAGTACCATGGACATAACAGAGTGTACTGTTTCGCCCATGATACCCCCCATGCGTTGTCATTCCTGAGGACTCAGATGTTATTCCTCTGTACCCTGTAAATTCACGCCATATCCCACCCTTCAAACTGAAACACAGCCATGCGAACACAACTGCTTTACGGTTGAAACACGAATGGGACAGAGGTACCTAAGCAAACGACTTTTGTACAAAGTCTCCCTCTGGTTGAATATCGAAAGCGTGTAGGAGGTACTGAGCGAAGTCATCCCAGAAATACTAGCAGTACTCCACACACGACCCTACTTGTGCTTTATACAGAAGAAGTCTTTGCCGGTGAAGTACCATCGCATTCTGTTTTTAATGTCTGTTAGTTTGTCCACTTCACACAATAATTACTGCACCAAATTAAATATGGTTTTCATTATTATGTCCCTTAAGGGCTAATTTAAAAACTGGTGTAAATTTTATTTTAATATCTATTTCATTGGATTTTCTGCTGATATCCGCGCATATAAAGCAGCGGGTAAAAAGCTAGTCATGCATAAAAAACTGTCTCCTAGATGGTTAACATTATATACTGTCTCGTCGTGGACACAATGAAATTTATTTTAGAATAAACTCTGGTTGATAAGTGCGTTTTTATTAGAGATAAATGTTAACAATAATGTTCTGAATGGTGTTACAACTATCCAAGTGAAAACAAGATGGCACCGTGCCGTAAATACAACAGTGGACGGTAGGACAATAATAAAAAAGGAAACGCCTGCTCGAACAGGCCGAGCACGCAATTACGAAATTGTCATTAACATAAACTCCCCCCGTTGAAGACTCGCTCTTCAATCGTCTCCATCGTTAATAGTCTTCATCAGCAAGAAGAGGGCAGAGGCGAACAAGAGGTCGCCGGTAACATCCTGTCTTTGTATTTACATCTGCGACACGAGAGATTCCATCAGGTCCTGGATATAATTTTGTTACTCGACCAGTACGCCAGCATAACGGAGGAAGAGTATCTTCACGCAGCAAGACCAAATCTCCAATCTTTACTTTGGCTGTATCAAGTTTCCATTTGGTCCGTACTTGTAATTCAGAGATGTATTCTTGTTGCCATCTTCGCCAAAAATGCTGTCTTATTTGCTCAAGAGGTGCATGGCGACGCAAGCAACTTTCCTTATAGTCTTCTAGACAAGGGGATGGCAAAGCATTCAGCGGTTTTCCAATCAGAAAGTGCCCTGGGGAAAGGAATAGGAAGTCGTCTGGGGAAGAGGATAAGGGACACAATGGACGACTATTCAATATAGATTCCACTTGTGCAAAAAGAGTCGAAAGTTCCTCGAAGGTTAAATGAGAATTGCCCATTACACGACGTATAAGGTGTTTGGAAGATTTGATTCCTGCTTCCCAAATACCACCAAAATGAGGAGCGTAAGAAGGAGTAAAAATAAATTTAATGCCTTCCTGAACTGCAAACTCAGATAATGTTTCATTATTAGTCTTTAGAAAACCATTAAGTTCTTTAGCGGCTCCAACAAAATTACGACCGTTATCGGAAAATATTTCCGCTGGCTTGCCGCGACGACATATAAACCGACGTAAGGTCATAATAAAAGCATCCTTAGTGAGGTCGCTTACAGCCTCCAAATGAACGCATTTGTACCGGAGACATACAAATAAACATAAATAAGACTTAGATAATTTAGCTCCTCGTCCCTTTCGATTTAATGTAATAAAGGGTCCAGCCATGTCAATACCAACAGATGTAAAAGGAAAATCTGGCGTAATTCTTTGTGAGGGTAGATCACCCATTTTTGGCAATAACGTCTTTCCTAAAACTCGTCGGCAACGTACACATTTACGTACAGTTGCTCGTGCTAATAACCTACCCTTAATGGGCCAAACAGTTTGTCTGACTGTGGCTAGAAGCAGTTGTGGGCCAGCGTGCATGTTGCGAATGTGCTCTGCTCTAAATATCAATTTGCATAAATAATGAGACGAATCTAATAAAACTGGATGTCTTTTATTATATGGATAGGTTGAAGCGTCTATACGCCCACCCACTCGTATTAAGTTATCGTTATCAAGAAACGGTGACAATGATAATATTTTTGATTTCGTATTCAAAAATTTTTCATTTGATAACGCTTTAAGTTCAATGGGAAAACTTTCTTGTTGGGATATAGTGCATAAAAAGTTAAAAGATTTGTTCAACTCTTCAACAGTTAATGGGCCTGATATTTTGATATTGGGGTTTTTTATATTGTATATAAAGCGATTGACATAAGCGACCGATCTTTGCAGTCTATTAAGATTTGAAAACCGTTCCATTTCTATTATTGATTTGTTTACAATGACGGACGTAGCAACCACTTTAAGCTCAGGTAAATTATTAAAATTATCATGTTTTAAAACTGGCCATTCGTCTTCTTTCTTTTGCAGAAATTTGGGTCCTTCCCACCACATGTCTGTATGACACAGCTGATCGGCACTTACACCACGTGAAATTAAATCGGCAGGATTCTCTGCAGTGGGAACATAACGCCAGGAAGACGACTGCGTGTTTTCTTGGATTTCACCTATTCTATTAGCCACAAATGTTTTTAATTTAGATATATCTCCTTTTAACCATCCCAATACGATGCTGGAATCGCACCAATGGATTATGCGGTCAGGAACATACCTTATTGACTCTATTACTGCTTTGGATAGTCGAGCAGCAAGAAGTGCCGCACAAAGCTCCAAGCGAGGTATTGAAGTAGGTTTTAGTGGAGCTACTTTTGATTTTGAACAAAGTAACTTAACTAAAATTTCACCGTTGATATCTATAGTTTTCACGTATACACATGCACCGTAACCTACTTGGGACGCATCACTGAAAGAGTGAATTTCTATGAATTTTGGCGAAACACATGCAACGAATCTAGGAATTTGTAAATTGGACAGAACTGGTAATCCATTGGCAAAATCCTGCCAGGCTTGCTCAATGTTGTCAGGTACGGGTTCGTCCCAACCAACTTTAAGCTGCCATAGCTTTTGAAGCATAAGTTTTGGCTGCATTATACAAGGACTCAACAGACCCAAAGGATCGAAAATCTTAAAAGCATTAGACATAATAAATCTTTTTGTTATGGTTTCGCTTGGAATTGGTATATTTATAGGAAAATGTAATGTATCGCTATTAGGATTCCACCCTAGACCAAGAGTACTTGAGGATTCACTAATAATCAGGTTACCCTGAGAAGCAATGTTGGAAGAATTTTGAATAATATTGGGTAAATTAGATTTGTATTTACGTAAATTAAAACATCCTTTATTCAATTCTGTAGCCACTGAATTTTGGATGTATTGTAATTCCATCTCGTCATTTGAACCCGTAATTAGATCGTCTACATAAAAGTCCTTTTGAATAATAGTTTTTATTAATTCATCAGTACACTCATCACCAACTTGCCACAAGCATCTCGTGCTTAAATAACTGGCACTTGCTGTACCGTAAGTGACAGTATTTAGTTGCATTGTTTTGATAGGTAAAGACTCGTCTTCTCTCCATAATATTAACTGCAGGTTTCTGTCATCCGGATTGACTTCAACCTGTCGATACATTTTTTCTACATCACCGGTAAGTAGATATTTATATTGTCGGGCACGAATTAAAATGGAGAAGAGAGAATCCTGTACATTTGGGCCAATCATCTGCAAATCGTTAACTGAGAAACCAGAGGACGAAGGTGCGGAACCATCAAAAACAACTCTTATTTTAGTCCATTCACTTTCTATTTTAAAAATCGCATGATGACATAAAAAGTATGATGGATTTGGCAATCTAATAGGAGATTCTGAAAGGTGACCCAAATTTTCATACTCGGTCATGAATTTAATATATTCCATTTTCAAAGAATGATTCCTTCGAAAACGCTTCTCAAGATTAGTGAAACGTTTTTTAGCAAGAGTATAAGAATCACCCAAGCAATTTGGTGAGTCTCGAAGTGGCAAACTTACGGAAAACCTACCTGTTTCAAGACGATGTGCATGTGTACGAAAGTGATTTTCGCAAGCTAATTCTATTGGATTTAAAATAGTTTTTGAGGAAGCTCTTCTAGTTCCCAGAATTTAGTAAGAAGGGCGTCAACATTTGATTCTTTAGATAAAGGTGCATTGACAATTATATTATTACAATGAATATCATTATTTTTACATGTATTTATGGGACCGCCGATCAGCCAGCCAAATACAGAATTACGAAGTTTTGGTTTGTTTGGACCTAAGGAAGTCTGCTCAGATAGTATAATGTCCCAAAAGAGGTCAGCACCTATCAACATATCGATAGGACCTGGTTGGTCAAATGTTGGGTCCGCTAACATAATCTGTTTGGGTAAATTTAAATTTACACAAAATTGTGGTAAACTTCCTGTAAGTCTATCAAGAACGAAGCAATTTAATTTAAATTTACTTTTATTATTTAGAGATTGTATTTGTACCATAGAACTTTCAGTTATATTATTGGTAGCATTATGGCCAATGCCAATAACATTCATGGAAATAGGAGTTGAATTTAGTGATAATTTTTCATGTAGTTTTTTTGTAATAAATGATGATTGACTGCCTGAATCCAATAAGGCACGCACTTTGGTTGCCTCTTTGGTTATTGGATTCAAAACTTCAAGTAGAGCAGTCGATAAAAGAACTTGTCGATTAACTTCTTTAGAGAAATTAACCATTGAATTTTCTTCACGTATTTGCGCATTATTGACTTTTGTATTGTCAATTGAATGCAATAAAGTATTGTGAGGTTTTTTGCATTGCTTACAGGGACCCATGCGACATTCATTAACAGGGTGACCTTGCCGTAAACAATTAGGACATAATTTATATTTAGAAACTTCAATTAACTTATCTTTAATGGATTTAGACTTAAAAATTGGACAGTCATAAATTTTGTGATTCTGATTACAAATAATACATAGCCATACTTTATTTTGACTAGTAGTAGCAAATGACTTTGTATTGATTGCGTGTTTATTATTATTATGCTTATAAGTTGATGAATTACCTGATAATAAATTATTAGTGTCAGATCTATTGCGACGCATAGATTCGAGAACAAATGCTCGATCAATTAAAAATTTCTTGAATTGTTCTAAATTTGGTAATTCATCTATAATATTACGTTGCTCTTCCCACTTCAGAAGTGTACGATTATCAAGCTTAGATGTAATAATAAAAATAATAATGGTATCCCAATGGTCTGTTGGTTGACCTAAGCTAGAGAGAGCACGTAGATTTTTGGTTATGTGGTCAACTAAATAGCGCAAAGAATCTTCAGTTTCGCGAGTGGCTTGTTGGACATTAAATAAAGGTTTTAAATGGTGATTTATGAGTAGACGCTTGTTGTTATAACGATCATAAAGTAATTGCCATGCACTGTTATAGTTAGACGATGACACTTCAATATTAGAAATAACACGAGCAGCATCACCTTCTAGATATGAAATTAAGTAGTGAAATTTTTGTATTGGTGGGATGTGCTCATTATTATGAATTAAGCTAGTATATGTGTCTCTGAACTCAAGCCAACGAAAAACCGATCCGTTGTACCTCTCAATATTGATTTGAGGTAATTTAACACGACACTCATTATGATCGAGACTGCATTGAGCTTCTTGAAAAAGAGATTCGCGTCGTGTCTTATCATGTTCTACACTTTTATTTGATTTTGCTCGTCGACAACATTTTTTGCTGTAGCTAAACATGATATGAACTCATGCTCAATGCGTTCACGCTCATCAATTTCAGATTCTAAATGTTCATTATTTACCAATTCTATTTGAGTTTGCAATTCATCATATCTAGCTGAGAGGCTTTTAAATTTAGTGATTTTTAATGATAACTCGGTTATTTCAATATTCGTCAGTTTAGGCTGTCTTGTAATCTTATCTAAATAATTCTTAAATTTAGTAATTTGTCCTTTAATAGAACTGCGTTTAATACTTAGATCTTTATAATCAGTATTTTTGTACACACTTGTAGATGAAGCTCGTGGATCAGTCATTTTGTTTATTAAAAATTAGTTAAATAAATTTAGTTAATATTCTACGCAATTATATACCTGAGACAAAGGGTTAAATTAAGTTTTTACAATGTATATGTTTGTACAAAAATATATTTATATAAATTACATGTAGGTAGACTCCATGCAATTTACATAAAAACAGAAAATGCTATTGATTATTATTTTAGTTAATTTTCTATTATTAATATATGTGTAATATAATAAACCCAAAGCAGTGTGTAAAAAAATAATAATAAAATAACAAACTACGTAATATATTAACCTTATTACTATCCTAATGCTTCTGATAACTCCGTAAAGGACTTATCGTGAAGATAGGAAACTTACAAATGAATTACAAGAAGCCTTCACTGATTGCAAATTGAATTTGTTAAATGTTAGAAAAAAGTTATAAATATAATAAATGGGTAAGCTCACGCTCCTCGTCAGGCGATATCCAGGTGCAGGCAGATGGCTGTGATGATAACAGCAATAGCAATATAATCAGCTGTCGAACAGCAATAGATACAGGCAGCAACCTGAAAATAGTCGGCAACGGGTCTTAATTGGAGTAAAGTGATGACGTTCGTTTCGTTATCATAACTATAATGTTTTTAATGTGTATAATACAAGTATATACACTCGTTATTTTAAATAAATAAAAGTAAAATAAATGAAAAACTAATCTGTTTAAGGGTGGGTAGGAGTTGACATTAATATAATGCGTATGTACATTAACTTGAAAAAACCTTCCCTTTTTCTCATCAATATAACGATTGATTGAATTATGATAATTTATAATAGTTCAAAATAAATGAAAAACAATATACATACAATACGACTCAGATTCTAGTAAGAGGGAGTATATTTTTATTCTAATATTTTTATCGTAGGTAGATTTTTGCACAAGCAGAACAATACTGAAATTTAATATATATTATGTACTTTAGGTTTTATAAATATAAGAAATTATTAGTTAGGAATATTTAGGACACTTATCTGAATAAATATGTTGCGAGGTGATGCTTTTGATGCGTCACTGCTCAGCGATATATAGTAGTCTCTTACTATGAGTTTTTTGTACTTTTGCTTCTTGAATATCACGAGGTCTGCTACTGATTAACAATAGGGATAGCACGTACACGACAACTATATTGTTCTTGTTGATGACCAGGTGGATATAATCGTCGACTTGCTTCTTCCAATGATGAATTTCGGTAGATATATAATTCCAGACCGTATATTTTGATGCGGTCCTGTCACGGTCGCCAATTTATGTCTCGTCGTGGACACAATGAAATTTATTTTAGAATAAACTCTGGTTGATAAGTGCGTTTTTATTAGAGATAAATGTTAACAATAATGTTCTGAATGGTGTTACAACTATCCAAGTGAAAAACAAGATGGCACCGTGCCGTAAATACAACAGTGGACGGTAGGACAATAATAAAAAAGGAAACGCCTGCTCGAACAGGCCGAGCACGCAATTACGAAATTGTCATTAACATATACCATAAAATAAATGAAATCTAAACAGTGTTCAGAAAAACCCTACGTAAAGTAATTAGGTATAATAATTTTTCTTCATAATTTTATGCACCAAAATCCATAGATTCATAGATCCAAAGATCCATAGATCCTATAGAATCTATAGATAATGAAATTGATTACTTTAAACACTTTTTACTTTTAATAATACATATTTTACTTTCATTTAAAGTAAAAATATCTTTAGACGAACTTTTGTAGTAAACCTAATCATGTCTAATTTTTTTTATTTTTTTTTTTATTTTATTTATTTATTTTTAGATAACTGGGATCCATTCTTGTTAGTAAGTGTACTTAAAAACTATGTTAATACTTAATTACTAATAATGATCTAGTCCTCTCGGCGAGCATTCTCACGAGAGGACTATCCAATTTATTAACAAACATGTTCAGGATACTGTTGCTACTCCCGCGTATTCGACGTAAAAACGAAGCTGTCTTTTTTCGCCAGACTGCGTCAAAACTATCTGTGCGAGCGTCTAATACGTGTATCTAGCTATAGTAAGTTTAACTTTTTTGTGATAAGACTGATAATGCTTTACGAATTATCCTTATTCCTATTATTATGAATTCGAAGTCGCGAGTTCAGCTTTTTAATAAATTAATCTTTAATTGTCTTCTAAATATTTCTAATTAATAGAATAAAATTTAGTAATATAATTTTAAGTGCAAAATAAAACATGTAAATAAGCCGCGGGATTCGAACTAAACCTGTTTGGGTTGTTGCAGGGCACAGGCCGACCCAATTACGAATTCTGTATGTCTGTACGTAATAATTAATGTGGTGGTTGGCAGATTACAAGATGTGAGATTCTAGGGACCGTTGGGTCTGTTTGCGAGCGGATTGCAGCGCGGGTAGCGGGGCGGAAATTCCGTAATATGTAGTCAAGTAAAGGATGGAAGCCTTGTTATTATAAGACTCGAAGAATTAAGGGTTTTCAGGCTTTCTACCAGAATGGTAGAGTATAAAGGATAGAAAACAAAGGGAAAGCCTTTATAGTGCGACTTTGTCACACCTTATGGGTTGTCCGACTTTATATGAGTTTATTTGACTGTCTGTCACAGCGCTTTATCTCTCTATATTATAAATTGTATTGATATGAAAAATTTGAAATAGTTTTAAATATTGATAATAGTTTGTCGATAATCTTTATTATATTACTAATCATGTGAGTGTGTCGCTCTCGCATGTTAATATATTCTAAGCAGTCTTAATTGTACATGAAAGTCTTTGACGTGGTTTGATAGATGACAGCTTTACGTGATTTCCTCGATAAATTAAAAAAATACTTTTAAATAATCCAAACATATTCCATGTTTGGATTATTTAAAAGTATTTTTTTAGTTTGGGATCTGCAGACTGCAATCAAGCATTATTCGATGGAGCTCTCACCCTTAAAAATTGTTCAATAACTTGTATTACCTGTTGGTCCTACCAACAGGTCTTTAGCTGTATAAAATAAAATATAACCGTTATTAAACGGTATTTTTATCATGCAAACCCTACTGAATTTTTGGTTGTAATGGTATAGTAATAACTTGAGACCTGTAAAAACATATTATATTCATCATAATTATATGTATTTATATTTTCCTTTTCCCCATAAACTCTTAATTTTTTTTTCTCACTTTACTTGCCTTCAACATATCGGTCTTTTTCTCTCAATCTTTTCCTTCATACTGTAGGTGGCAGATATCACCAAGAAATGCATTTCCAAGTTTGCCGTTAAACAGGTGGCTGATAATAAAACCAAAAACCAAAACCTTGTCTAATATGAATAAAATCATATTATACTGATTCCAAATTACTTGTTAGTTAGTTAATACTTGTTAGTCTTTCATGCAATAACTATTGAACGGATTTGAATGAAATTTGTCACACGGGTTATATTACAATTTAGCACAATCATTTTATTAACTGTCCACTGCTGAACATAGCCTCTCCCATAAGGGGCGGTTTTGCCAGTAGTTGCCACGATTGACAGGCGGGTTGACTTAACTTAGCACATAGGATACTTTAAGTACTAAATCGCATGGGTAAAGCCGTAGAATACAGATTGTAGGACAATAAGAAATTTCGCCAGTCGTACACCAAAAGCGTACATAATCAGAATGATATTGTGTATTATTAACTATAATATATAAAATGTTCTGTATATTATCATTTTCAATAACAGTATGGCAAACATTAGCAAGCTATAAACTCAATACACAATTACCATAAATGAGGCAACAAACACTCTACGCGAGAGTTTGGAACAAGTGTTTACTTGCCGCTCACAAATGGGCCGCACCCTTTCGTTGAAATCATATAGAGAGGAATGTGCGATTAATTAAAATTATCCAAAGTTATTATAATAAAATTAAAATTAAAGTACCTTACTTGTTTAAAATGTTTGTAAAAGTTATTTACACTAATATAATGACTCTAAGTAGTATTAGAGAGTAGGTGTTTAAGACGAGAATTAGATTAAAGATTTTTCTCGTTTGGTAAGATATAAGATGAGTATGACGAGTATGACAGACAATTAAAATAATCTAATAAAATAAAATAATCTTAGTTTTACCCCTATTTTACGCATACTGTCAATATTTTGTCGATTTTAAATAGATCGTGATTATTATTTTGTAAACTATTCTGTTACAAGCACAATTTTTTTAGAAGCGCATTAATAACTCTATATAATTATTCTTGCAATTTGATAAAACCGCTTCTGGAACAGTCGCGTAAATATGTCTTTTCAGGTGGTTGATGTAGATAAAAGAATTATGTGTTTGGGACACTTTAGGGTACATTGTTAATTAACTAATTCTACAACGTATGCGTGCGCGTACGTAATGTAGGTGTGTGTGGAAGCGTGTGTTGCAAAACATCTAGATTTATGTATGTTTATTTTTAAGACATTTAAAAAAGAAGAGAGTTTCTAATTCGTCTGTGTTTTTCTGTGTATATGTTACGAGATATCTTCATCAATTTTGAACCGAATTTGATAATCCATTTTGCTAAGATAGAAACGATGAATTTCAATTAAAATGCATTTAAAGTTCGATAAATTGAGGACATACCGAGTAATACTTTTTACTAAACGTCAGTTAAAAGTCCAAAAATACGTCTGACTAACGGGAAGGGATAAGTCATAGGGATTAATGGCTCTATTGCTAGCAAAATGCCTCATCAGCTCTACATCCACGTATGATCGTTCTGGAAAACATCATTGTTAATTCCTGGTGAACCAATCACAATGCTTCAATTAACCTAAGTTTATTTTCATCTATCCTTCTTTACTAGTATCCTGCCAGTGTATATCGATAATGTAAGCGGAATACCATTCTATTTTCATCCTTATTACCTACTAGCGGCCCGTCCCGGCGTCGCACGGGTGGACACTTTAAAAAGTGGCCATTAAGGCTGCACACGCGACGGAAGCTTAAAAATGGAGTAACTTCTCCTGTTTTCCCAACATTTTTTTTCATTGCTCTGCTCCTATTGATCGTAGCGTGATGAAAAGTATACTATAACCTGCCCAGGAGTATGAAGAATAATTGTACCAAGTTTCGTTAAAATCCGTCGAGTAGTTTTTGTTTCTATAACAAACATAAAGACAGACAGACAAACAGACGAAAATTTTACTGATTGCATTTTTGGCATCAGTATCGATCACTAATCACCCCCTGATAGTTTTTTTGAAAATATATTTCATATTCAGAATTGACCTCTCTACAGATTTATTATAAGTATCGATTATTTACCTCTAACTACATCATTAGACTTTATAGTCGTAAGTATAATTTGTTTTAATATTTTTAGATACTTATAGAATTCCTATTAGTATATTCAATGTCATTGTGTTGTACTCGTATGTGAATTTTATACAAAAGCCATCTAAAACAAAAGCTAGCGAAGAGGGCACGACGCGTGACGTTGGAGATATGAATGCAAAACTTAGCACCACACTATGTACCGTTGGTAAATTAATTAGAACAGAGCTATATTTCATAATAAACCGTATTAACATTATAAATGCTGGGGGAGCGGGAATGTTAGTAATGAAGACTACCAGGCCCATTGCTAACACACTACCCTGTCAGGTCGACTACCCCGTCGTCTCTCCTAGAAACTATCGTGCTGAATTCCAGGTGTATTCATCAAGATGAGCTAAACTGACCTGTTATCCTTACCTATCATCTTTCGCTGATGACTTACCAGCGTTTACAGTTAGCGCAGGCGAGGTTACAATTTTTTAATATCATTCATTAAAAAAAAAATTAAAAAAACATTCAAATAAAAGATTTACCAGCATAGAATAAGCCACCCCTTACTTTCCCATGGGTATCGTAATCTAATATCTTGCTCATCAATATTATAAATGTGAAAGTTAATTTGTTTGTTTGTTACCTTAACAGCTTATCCAATTATAATGAAATTTTGTATACACATACTATGTATATGGGACGAAAAAGGATACGGGCTTTACTCTTTGTATTTTTAAATACACAATCGGGACCTAACGCGATAAAAAAGTTTTTACAAGTAATTAGTAAATAGAAACGTTGTTTTATTTCATTGTTTTACATAGTAAAATTTTATGTATTTATTTATATGTGTATTTATTGTATGTATATATTTATTTATTTAGTATATTATATGTATATATGCTTATGTTATATGAATTTATTAAGAATTGCTTCATTTTTCCTCTATTAAAAAATCTATGAAAAAATCTCGGTTTGCCCAATGGTTGACTGGTAGAGAACACCGTCCGGTGTTAAGTCCACCAAATGTACATAGAATTATACTGTGCATTAAAGTTTAAGTAAATAAAATAAATAAACGTCGACA